TTGATGACGATTCTGAAGATTTCCTGCAAAAAGATGATATGCGATGCAAGTACATGCGAGAAATGAAAGAAGATTTTTCGAAGATTGTGCACATGACTGTCTTCCACAACAACTGTAAACTATTGTTGTGGAAGACAGTCGTGTGTACAACTGTTGGTGATTTAATTTTTTTTAAGGTGAAATACACAAAACCTTATGGGTGGAATTAAAAAGAATGTTTTGGCATTTGGATTTGGTGAAGAAATAGAGTGGAATAAAGATACGTAAACCAAGCTTATATATAGTATTACCAACCGGGTAAAACTAACGATTTAAAATTGACTCACTACTTGACTAGCCTATTGGTCCCAATCAAATCGATTAACGTACTCCATTCTAGTCGAAATTCTAGTACTACACTATGTTTGTTTTGATTCGCTATGAAAGTTTGACAGATAAAATGAGGGGTTCGTGGATTTTCCAATTTTTTGAGGGGTGCATCGGTTAGCTTGGGACCGAAGATAGTACTAGAGCTGAGTCAAAAAGTTGAGCACTGTTTCTGAAAATGACTTCAGCTACAACGTTTACATAGATTTTCATCAATTTTAGCAATACATAAAACTTTTTTATCTGGGTGTACAGTACCTCCCTTAATCAAAAATGTCCAATACTCACATAAAGTACTAAAAAAATGAAGAAACAATCTACAAGACATCAAAATGCTACACGCTGTAGTTTCGTCGCAAATAGCCATGTCCCACTACTGGTCCGGAAGCGCAAATTTCAAGAAAAAATTTTAAAAAAAAGTGCATGAAAATGAAGTTTAATCCATTTGATGTCTTGACAATGTTAACAATTTTACAAGACACATTATTTTAAGAAAAGTTTTTTTTTTTTTATTTAAAAAAAACACAACTTTTGTAAAAAACATCAATACGTTATCTAGTAATCCTTAAAAGATGCATGGGTTAATTTCTTCAAAAAATTATGTAAACGATGTAAGTTGAGTGTCAAAATGAGTTAAATATTTTCAAACCCGTTTTGAGATTCTGCATATTTTGATGAAAATTTCTATTAAAAAAATTTTTAAGGACAATTATTAATTATTGCCTTTGAGGTAATCTTTCAAATCGGTACTTCTTCAGTAACACATCCATTTGAGCTCTTTTTTTTGAGACATTGTATGTTTGAAGTGACATGGCAGTGGATACCTGCTGATTTTTAGTACCTATTGATTAGTATATAACTCGTAGATAAAATATGGATTCTTCAGTGTTGTTGAGTACTTGGCACTGATGAAGTCTGCAAGTAGTAGAAAAAATACGCGTATCTGTCAAAAGATAAGCAATTATAACGGAATTTAGAGGAAATAAATCAACACACTCAAATCTCTTCAGCCTCGAGATTGTTTTAAATACATTTGATTCAATTTCTACATAGGTACCGTTCCGATTCAAATTTCGGACGATTCAAATTTCGGACACTTTCATTTTTAATTAAATATTACATCCAGTTAGAAACAAAGTAATAATGTTAGATGATCGTGGAGGGCACTAGTCAAAAAAATTTAATCATTATATATTGGTGCTTTTATTGGTCTTCAGCAGCATGCTTTCATGAACACTCACGAAAATTTTCAAATACTGTAATGATTGCTGATATTTCAAACAATCAATAACCTATTATCAATTGTACAATCTACTTAAAACGGCAAACGCTTCAATGCATGTGTATTTCTATAGTAAAAAATTAAATATGGTGCAACTAGATTAAATTATTAAATTAGTAGCAACATGTCAAAGTAAACAATTTTCTATATACATCATCTTGCACATTATCATTAAAGTAAAAAAAATGAATTTGTGTCCCAATGAGTATAATTTATGGACAATCCATTCATTAGATGCGCCTTCTTTCCACTGAAAACTTCTCCCAAGACACCAAATTGATGAAACTTCATCTTCATGCACTTTATATATTTTTTTTCCTGAAATTTACCCTTCTGGACCACTGTGACTTGGGCAAAAGTTTACAAACTTTACGAAAGTATTTTGAAGGAAAGATTGTGTTGTGCTGTGGCTAGCTGTTCGCACGCTGAGTAGATAGAAAGAAGATTGATGACGATTCTGAAGATTTCCTGCAAAAAGATGATGCGCGATGTATGTAGATGCGAGAAATGCAAGAAGATTTTTCGAAGATCCCAACTAACATTTTCAGCTTTATAAGCCAACTTTTCCAGCGTTGTGCTGTAAAGTAGCTGAAAACAAGCTGCAGATACAGCTATAAGCAGAAGCTAGCAAAATAGTTTTAGAGAGCGTTTACTCAACTGTTTAACATCCATTATTCAACCAATGTCAGTCGCACTGAATAACAACAGCCAAAAAACGCTAATGTCTCTTTTATACACATACTAATCAACTTTCAACTTGTTACTGCAAAAGAAAGCTAATCAAGTGAATATATTACTCATTTGATGGCCTCTACACAACCAACCACTCTTGCTGAATAACATAAACATCAAAAGTGCTTTTTCAACAACTTAACATCCTGTACTCAGCTAATAAACTGTGTTAGAGCTACTTTGGAAGCATTTTCACAATCAACTAGGTTTATTTTTAGACGTGTGCAGTTTTACAGCTTTTGCTCTGCTCCTTTACAAAAATGAAGTAACTAGTCGAGAAAAGTGATTCATGTGCACTATTATATAGCCTCTACTCAGCGATTTTGTTGTAGAAGGGCATGTTGATTTGTTTACATCAGTTCAAAGTGTTGGTGTAGCACAGTTGGTAGTGTCAAGGTTTGCCAATGCGGTCGTCTCGAGTTCGATTCCAGGTTCCGGTGCAGGGTAAATAATTTGGTGATGACTTGTGTAACTAATTTCGATTAATTTTTGATTCACAGCTAAATAAACTCAATAAATTCCTCCATAACAAAAAAACGTAAACAGTATTTAACCCGGCTTCAAGAGAAAGATGTGTAGTGATTATTGAATAACCGGGAAAAGGTTAAATAAGCGCCTTTCAAGTTGACACACAACTAAACAGCAGGATAACAGCTGTATAGAAGCGTTAATGGATATGCAATAAGAGGTTGTCCCAACCGTCCCAACAACCATAATTAGCTGACTAATTTCGCCAGATTTGCTTGTATAGAGGTTAAATAAAGGTTTCCTCATATCATATAACGTTTGAATACAGCTTGAGGCTGTATAAATGAAATGAGTAAAGCGTTTACATTGTGAAAATTGCTAGTTGGGTAGTGTGAGATTTTTTAGCATCTTAAATTGAGATTTAGATGTGTCGCCCCCCCTCGAGAAAATCGCTGAATTTTGAGTTTATAAAAACTGATCTTTTTCCCATAAATACTTTTTTTTTCTTGATTTGATTTCCGTCGATGTTGTTTTCCATGCTAAGCACCAATAGACTTCTCTGACGTTTGTGAATTGCACAAGTAATAGTGCAGAACTTTGGGTAAATTCAAAGGGTTTCTTGAACTAATACTTATAACTTACTCCGAGTTCTGCACTAATACTTGTGCATTTCACAAACGTCAGAGAAGTCTATAAGGCTGTCCACGAGACAGTTGCGATCAGCTGACTTTTTTGTTTGCCAAGATCTTTTGACCGATCACAGTAGAACTCGCAGTTTATTCTCATATGAATTTCTGCTTTGTGTATGTTTACATTCAGCACCATTAACACCAGATCACTCACACACTCTAGATTTCTAGCTGTCAGTTCCACTGAGAAACGTCTCTTGGATCATCTTATGCTACCGACGCCAGGGAGGCAGCTCCCACACCTGGACCCTACCTATCGACCCATCAACTCATGAACCAGGGAACAACGAAGGAAGGCGTGATCAGAGATGTTATGCCTCAGATCATCCCGGCGGCGCCGACTGGGATTGAACCCGGGCCTGCTGGGGTGAGAGGTAATCACGCTTACCACTACACCGCTTATCTGATATTTGGCTTAAAAACGGTAAAGATCAAATTATTTTCTACTATTAAATATTATGAAAAAGAAAACAATGAAACCCCCTTCCCCTCATCATAAGAAACTGTAAGAAATAACGAGACCTCCCTCCCCCTTATTCCTATGTATAATTTGTGGATGACCCCTTGGTACAAATAATATATTTTATCACATTGAAACAAATTTTTAGCTGTAAAGCTACGATTAGACTAGGCAGTAGAGTGAAGCAAAATTTGAAAATTTTGCTCCACAGTGCTCAGAAGGTCTCAAATCTGGTCCTGATTAGCCTTCCAACATTTGATTTAATTGATTTATTTCATTCTGTTTTATGTTACTGTGTGATATTTTTTTAGCTAGAGAAAGGTCTGAAGAGGGTTATTTAATACGTAGTTTTTAGCAAAATTCAAAATGACCGAATTAAAGGTCAAATGCTATGTACAATTTCCACACTGCCGTACTCAACTATATACTTTCATCTCCTCATCTATCATATAAAAATGACCACTTTAGCCTTTTATTTGAAATTAGCATCTTCAACTATGTAAATCGTTTACTTCACGCAGAAGTAATACAAACAAAATAGCTAAAGTACATAACTCTAGATGGGAGCTTTTCATAAATTTCTGTCATTGATCGAAAAGTACAGTGCAGAAATTGTACCCCTCTAACCTTGGGTAAACCGGGAGTATTCGTCCCAACTCCTACTAGACATAGAAATAACTGAATTTTTTTTAAAACGATGAATTACGTCTCATCCTTTATGTCAAAGATGGATTCCGTCACGTGTAAGATTAGGTATTTCTAAATGTGTAGTTAAAATAAAACACTTTGCAACTGGCATCACTGTTCGCTCACACCGGATAAGCCCCCAAGTGTCATTCTCTCCCTCTCCTGTAGGTACGGGCCATAATATATGCTAACCACCCACCACCCTCACTCTCCCGAACAGAGTACATCAGTCGGCACCACCACGAGCTCCTATGCTTTGAGTTACTCTCTTCATCCGATTCTCATTCTCTTGCGTTTGCTCCTTTTTACTACGTACTTTTCACAACCCTCCCATCATCACATCACCCGACTGATCCTGGCCTCCTCCCTCTCCCGTGCTGCTGCTGCTTTCAACTTTCAGTAACACACTGCACAAAAGTACGGGGAATCAAGTGAAGAGGGCCATCAAGAAGAAAACCCCTAATTGGTGTTCTTCATTTTTACACTGCTTTCCAGATTGCGAAACTTTCACACACAATATTTTCCCATGTTTTCACCTTTGCTTGCCTCTTCCAATAATGTAACCACTTACAAATCTCTAATACTTTTATTTTGTCTTCTGCGCGTTGCTTTTTCTTCTACTTCATCACAATTTTCACCACGAAATTTTGCATGTCACACTGCTCGAGTTCATGGGGTGGGAGAACGGAAAAAATCAAAGCAAAATCAAAATCGCACGAAAAGGAAAAACCGAAACCCGTATGACTTTGGGTGCTAGCTTTTCGCTGGAAAAATCGAATCGAAAATTTAATCGAAAGTTTCCCGATTATTCATCACATCACGAATGGAAAACGCGAATACAAGGGGGAAAATTACACAGACAGATTAACCGAATTACACACACTCTCTTCCTCTTCCGTTCTGTTCAAATCGAAAGGAGACGAACACCGGCCAAGAATGTTGCGATCCGATCCGTTCCGTAGTCCGCGAGAGAATGACTCACTTGCTGACTGAGCATAATAACCGTGGACCCATAAGGAAGGACGGCTACGAAAATTGACAGCTAGGGAAATATGGTGGAAAATTCGGAATGGGATTAGAAGATATTCGAAAAAGTCCCAACGGAGAGAGTGAAACGGAATGATCGATAGGATACTTTTCCATGTTTGAATTAGCTGTTAAAGGCAATTTACGTCATGAATCTAATAGTCATGTTTTAAATTTATTGCAACCGTCGGGTTGATTTATTTACCCCATATTCTTCTACATGGCTTTGACGCTCCTAAACGAGCTTCCACCTGCTCTCAACCATAGAGGTAACTCTAAGACCAGAAGGTCTCGAAGAAACGTGCTCAACTTTTTGGTTCGGCTCTGGTACTCTCTTCGGTCCCAAGCTAATCGCTGCACCCCTCGAAACATAGGAAAATCCACGAACCCCTAATTTTATCTGTCAAACTTTCATAGCGAATCAAAACAAACATAATTTAGTACTAGAAATTCAACTAGAATGGGGTACGTTAATCGATTTGCTTGGGACCAATAGGCTAGTCAAGTAGAGAGTCACTTTAAAATCGTTAGTTTCCATCGGTTGGTTTTACTGACTAGGCTATTTGAATTGATTATTCTAAAAAGTGCGGCACTTCCCCTCTCATTTATGTACTGGAAAAAAAACTACTGGTACATCTAACCGAGAAATGTAAGATTCTATTAAAGATTTGAATGGAAATTATGCAGAATTTACAATGTTTCGCGACATGAACAGATTCTGTAATGTGGTCGCCGGAGACACAATTAATGCACTGCAACGCCAAGTGATTAAAATTTCAAATTAAAAGTAGAGGTAAGAGGGGCGTAGTGAACAGGTGGGACATAATGAGCATGCCGCCCTCTAGTCATGAACCTCTAATTATTCGAAACAAATTAATTAAAAAGACAAATACCACCATCGCAATGATTCATGACCACTTCATTTTTGCCGAACCATAATAAATCCAAGGTTAAAGCACAGCAAGCTCACTATACCCCTTCTTCCCCCACTGGCCCAAGTAAAGGTTGAACACGACAAAATCCGGATACATTAAAAAACTGCCATTAAGGCATTTCTTGGGTAAAATTTTTCAAAATTTCACTGGATCAAGCTAAGAGTGTATGTAATCACAGTAGGCATTGGTTTTCAGGATAAGTCCATTTGTTTACATCATGGCTTCACCGGAGCAAGCATGTCGCGATGCGATCCTGCACGCTCGAAACGAAAATCATTGAATTTATAATTTATTGTATAACACATTATTATTTTTCCTGTATTTGTAGGTTTCGTAATAGGGTAGGCGAGCCAGTTTAGGCACTAGTTAGTAAGCAAATGTAGTTTTCTTTTTTATCAAATAGAAACTGAACTGTAATTTAAAGCATCCTGATTTATGAAACGATGTGAAATCTGTTATATTTGCATTTGCACCATCGAGATGAACTAGCCTACGGTTAAATACCTCAAAAATAAAGTTTAAACAAATATACATATGCATCTACATGGTGCGGAGTCACTCGAAATCGGGCACCAAGGCTTAAGTGCCTTAAACAGATTCGTTTGAAAGATAAAGTATTAGGATCAACACTCAAAATTGTATCCTTAATTTAAATTGTAAAGCAATAAAACAAGTGCACGCTCACTGCAAGCGAATTTCTAAGGACATTTTAATAGTAAGTAGAATTCCAAGGGAAGGAGTAAATTCAAAAGGCAGTTTGAACTGAAATCATTGAAAATTATGATAATAATTCCAAAGAATTTTCGGAGAAACTTCCGTGGGAATTGAAGCCCTCTTCTAAAGATCATTCTCTAGCTAATAAATCATCACACTAAAGCTTCATGTTAGCATTTCCAACCAACTCTGAAAATCGTTAACTTCGCGTATGAAGTAACACAAAAACACTTTGAATTGCAAAGGAATTATAACAACAATCAATACGAAACTAACGATTTTAAATTGGCTCACTACTTGACTAGCCCATTGGTCCCAAGCAAACGATTAACGTACCCCATTCTAGTCGGAATTCTAGTACTACGCAATGTTTGTTTTGATTGGCTATGAAAGTTGGACAGGTAAAATGAGGTGTTATTGGTTTTTCCTATTTTTCGAGGGGTGAATTGATTAGCTTAGGACCAAAGAGAGTACCAGAGCTGAGCCAAAAAGTTGAGCTCGTTATTTCAGAACCTTCTAGTCTTAGAGTTACCTCTATGATTATAATCATGTTCCGGTGTTAATTTTTAGGGAATTCAAATGAGTGTTCCAATAGAATTGTGAGGAGCGTTTCTAAGAATTTATCAGAGTCGTGAGCAAAACTAAAAAGGAATACAACGTGAAAGCTGAGCAGAACTCCTTTGTGAAGTTTTCGGCGATATCTCTGGGGAATTCCTAGGTAATACTGCATCAGTTTTATAACTCGATGTGAAGGGACCATGTTGAGTTATGGAGACTCTAAAAAACAACCCTGACGAAGAGGCAGTAGCTGCAGACTACAGGTTAAAACCGGGACACAATCCATTCCGCCAAGCGTAAAACATGGTTTGACTTCCTGAACAGAATAAGCGGCGACAGCCCAACTTCCGAACGCCTTGTCAAGGGAAACGCAGGACCAACGGTATTGCTATCAACACATGAAGTGGCATCACTAGGGACCCGAAGGAAATTGCGAACATCTTTGGAAGTTTCTTCGCTAAACTCAACGCTCGGAGTGGAGTGGTTACAGCCACGATTACACGCGTCTTCGCAATAGCCAGTGGAAACGGAAAATCAGTTGGTCTTGATGACGTCGGGTATCCATTACTTCGCCACCTTCCACCCATCGGTAGTAGGATTCTGCTGCAAAATTACAACCGAATTTGGACATAGTGAACTCCCTTTCAAATGCTTACCAAAAAGAGTCTTTATTTTTGTGTTCACCACAGGACATAGACGCACTCTGATCCGTAGGAAACTCCAAAGTGCCATCGAGGCAGTGCATGCTTGGACATCATCGATCGGATTCGAACTATCGCCATCCAAGAGTCAATTTTTCCACCTGGACTTAGGAAAACACCGAGCTAAAAGGAATCCCCCCAAAATCGGTGGAGAAGATATACTTTTCGAGGCCACGATCCGCGTTCTCGGAGTATATTTCTAGACCGTCACCTGAGTTTTGAGCTTCACTGTGACTGGACAAAAAAGCAATGCGAAAGTCTATTGAAACTCTTACGTATTATCACCAGCAAGCACACCAACAACAACCGTGACGTTGGAGCACGAAGGCAATCATTTGTAGCAAACTGCTCTACGGTGCCGAGCTACTGTGTAGAAATTTTGATATTGTAACCGATAAACTCGCACCAACTTTCAACCGATTCAACAGCAATGTGTCCGGGCTTCTCCCTTGCAATCCTGCAGCAGTCACGTGTGTTGAGGCTGGAATTCTACCCTTCCGATATATATTCAAAAAAGCCGTATGTTCCAAAGCCACCAGTTTCCTGGAGACGACGAGGGATGGTTCCTCCTCAAAGAGTCAAACAAGCTCCTTCAAGATTTCACCCACCAGAACCTCCCCCCAGTGTCCAGAGTCCACTGGGTCGGAGACGAAGCGTGGGACTACCAACAATCAATACGAAACTAACGATTTTAAATTGGCTCACCACTTTAGTAGCCTATTGGTCCCAAGCAAACGATTAACGTACCCTATTCTAGTTGAAATTCTATTACTACACTATGTTTGTTTTGATTCGCTATGAAAGTTTGACAGATAACATCAGGGGTGTGTGGATTCATGCAGAACATGCAGGGGTGAGTGAAATAGCTTGGGACTGCTTGGGACCGTTGTTCTGGTACTGAGTGAGCCAAAAATAATAATGATTTTCTTCGGGACCCAGTGGTCTTAGAGTTACCTCTATGGGACTACTCTCCACCTAAGATCATATGGGCATTAACTAAACCTAACAAATAGCTGAACCCCCACACTGTGGTCACGCGCTTCAACGAGCTCATTAGAACAATACTGAGTGGCTACGAGCTCATCTATACGGATGGTTCGAAAACAGTAAACGAAGTCGGCTATGGTGTATTCGGCCCCAGCAGAGGCGTTTCTAAGCCTACATTGATCTTCTCGGCTGAGGCAGCCGAGGAGGCAGCTGCCATCTTCTCGGCCGTTACGGAGTCCAGCTTTACCTGGAAGGTCACCATTACCGATTCGGCCAGTGTGCTGAAGGCTCGTGAGGGTCCGAAGAACCGACACCCGTTGGTGCAAGCAATTAGAATGGCTTCAAAAAGTAACACCAACCGGTGGAAACTAACGATTTTAAATTGACTTACTACTTGACTAGCATATTGGTCCCAAGCAAATCGATTAACTTACCCCATTCTAGTCGAAAT